GTTCAGTCCTGGTGCCACCGTTCAGTCTTCAGGCCACCAGCCACTCTGGCCCTTAGCCTCCTTCGGTGTCTCTTCTGCCGTGGATGCCCACTTCTCAGTAGGCCTGATTGTCCCCAGGGTGGCTTCCTCCCTCGCTTAGGGTGGGCAGGCCCCTTGGGCTGCAGCTCACTCGAGGGCCTGGAATGAGACCCCTTCATTCCGAGGGCTTGAGTTTCTATGCCATTCATCCCCTGCCGTTGCTGGACTGGTGGAGTCTGGTGTCTAGAGAGGGAGCTCACCTGGAGGGCAGGGTCCCGGGCATTGGTGTGGTCCTGACGCGAGCTGTGGGCTGCTCAGGCATCCAGCTGGGCTCGGGAGCAAGACGAGTACCGGGGTTACCCTGGTGACCCTAAGAATTCAGACTCAGCCACTTAACAGTCTGGTGGCCTGGGACAGGTTGCTTTTATCTTTAAGTGTTAGCGACATCGTGTGCGAAAGGGAGTTTGCGCACAGCCCTGCTGTGAGGATGATACGGTGAGCTCGCTCTAAGAGGCAGCTGTCTCCAGTGAGGGCTGTAGGGTTGACAGACTTGAGTGAAGCAGGTGCGCAAGGCGCTGGCAGCGTCTGCCGCTCACTGGGCACGAGTGGCCCAGCCCTGCTCATGGAGCCCAGCTCTCGCGTGGTTCAACTGACCACTCAGGCAGGACTTACGAAAACTGCTCTGCTTTGACAAGTGCAGGGAGTTTGGATCCTGTCCCTAGCAGAGCTTCCACCACTTTAAACTGTAAGCTCTTAGCCTCCAGGGGTTTTGTGAACCCTCAGGGCCTTGCAGCACTGCTTTTGGCCCGGATTCACCAGTCTGTCTTGTGGCCTCATTTCCCCGTGAGGGATTAGAAAGCGCCTGCGGGCTAGGAGCTCCTGCGGAGCGCAGGCACAGATGGGGCCGCAGTGCCTGGGTTCCTGGTTCCAGTGGGGAGAGTGCCTGGCTGCACAGAGGTTATGAGGACCCAAACTTGCTAACACCAGCCAGACCCCCCACCCCGGTTGGCAGAGGTGGGGCTGGCCTGGTCCCACACCCCTGCAATCCCATGGGGTGGCGCGGCTCCAGCTTGATAGCGAGCGTAGCCATATGGAAAATGCCTGTTCATTTGCCAAACTATGGAAGTTTCAGAAAGGTATAAAGAAGAAAGTAAACGTTGCCCATAATCACAGTCCCCTACCCTCACCCCCCCAAAAAAAACCCACCATTTATATTTTTTCGATTTTTAGGCTTTTATTTGCCTACATAGTTTATGTTGTTGAGATCATATTTGGATGTAATTTATATAATTTACCTGGAGTGAACATAAATGGATTTATTGAAGCCTTCCACAAATGCTTGACTAAGTTCAAATGGAGCCAATTCACACCTTTCTGTGACTTTGTACCTCACAAACTTAGGAGTTCTTTCATTCGTTTAAAAAAAAAAGGCAGGTGGGGAGTTGCGGTCAGATTGCTGACCTGTGGGCCCCCCGGGGCTGCAGGCCCCCGTGGGGTGTCTGGGGCCTGCCTGGTAGGAGTCCTCACACAGAGGAGGCGTTGGACATGTGAGTGAAGAAAAAAGGAAAAAATAGTTTAGATGTTCTACCTAAGTAGTTCTTTGTCAGAGGAGATTCTTCTGAACAAATCTCTTTTTTTTTCACCAAATGCTACATGTAATACTGTTCAAAGTTACCAACATTTGGAATTTTTATAATATCCTAAACTTCTAATTCATTCCAGATCGGCCACATTGACGGAGATCCCAGTCGTAAAGGAGCGTTCCCTGTATCATTTGTGCACTTTATTGCTGACTAAATTGCTACTGAACAAAAGCATTTCCTATAACAGTTCTGTTCCTGTTTCATTATTGGTACCAGAACTCTTGCCAGATATAACCAGTTTCATGAATTGTATTGTTCGGTAGCCTATTTTCTCTAATACTACTGTTCTGTTTTTAAAACTCAAAAGCAATTTTTACACATAAATGGTTTTTATAATTTGTGGTTTTCATAAAGCATTGTTATGCTTTTATTAGGAAAAACTAAGTTTCCTAAAAGGTGAACTGAAAAGTTATTTTAACTACATAATCAAGATCCTGCATCTATAGAGTTAGTAAAACCTAAAAATGTTTGAACTAAGAACATTGGAAATAAATTCTTCCTGCTTTCCTTGGCCCAATCTGGAGTTGATGATCTTTTTGCACAATTATTATAAGAAAATAGGAAGCCAGTAAACTGCTGCTTCAGAAGTCCATAGCTCAGCTGTGGACTTTGTCAATAATGTTATCAGTTCACCTTTTAAAGACAGGTATTCCTTTATAACCCATCCAATGTTTATTTAAAGCAACTTGGAAATTTACGCATTAGCGATGTACTAGCCCTAATTTGTGAGGTTGCAGCTATCATATTCTGCATGTGTGTATAACCTGTTGTTGTGAACAATCATACTTAACAAAACTACTGATGGTTTATTACAACATAAGATAATTGCAATTAATTCAGTTCCAGGTTATATAAAACTGCATTTCCTGAATTTGGTTAAAAACTAAGGATGATGGATTGCAAAACAGTTCTTTAGTTTATATGCTTTAGGTGTTTTGGAATTTGCCTTCTTAACTTCCTTAACCACACAGAAATCAACTGTACACAGAATTCTGTGTCGCAGACCACGCGATATTAACATATCACTCGCTGTTTCTTGTTGAGTGTACCACTGCCTTCCCTTCCTAGCCCATGAGAATGTTTACTCAGTTTAGTGTCTTGTATTTATATAATATTCCAACAGGAATGGTAGTTATACTGTCTTGAAATTTAATCTGTCCATCTGTTTATAATCAAGAGCGTATCAGAAATCTATAGGTCCCAGGGAATAAAATATTCCCAAACATCCCAGTTTTTACTATTTAGGGCCATCATATCATTCTTAAGCTACTTGGGGAGGGAGTGGGGGGATTAGGTTGTATATTATAAAATCAAAACTCGTTAGTTTAATGAAATTGACTGTCATACCTCTATTTAGTAATTGTGACCGAAAGATTCATAGTAGGAATATTGGAAATTTTGGCACTCTTTGAGATTAGGCATGTAATGCCCACTTTGACTTTTAATAAAAGTAAAGGAATAAATTTAAGTATAGGCTTGGAAAGTGAGGAAACAATGCTATTACTGCATTTGTTATGATGGTACATTTGATTGAAGCAGCCTGTCTTTAGTATGCAAGACTCTTGTTAAGTGTAGAGTTCTTTTACTTTTTCTTTTTGGCATTGTACTTTTTGTTGCTATTATAAAAGAAAACAGAACAAACTGGAATGTTTTATGATGTTGTATACCAATTGCTTTTTGCCTTTCAAAGTTCTGGGTAAAAATGTGTTAGATCTGTAATTAAAGTCTTTTTTTTAAAGCACTACATCTATTTTCACTAATTGTTAATTTCTGTTGTTTGAACCCTTCATTTAGTTAATTTTCTCATAGGTTCAAGAAAGTAAACAGATATTTTTGCACAGTGCACTTATTCTGTTTTAATAATCCTCCTGCATCTGTCTTATAGTCAGCCTTGTGACTACCTGGTGCCAGCTACGTAAGGAATAGTTGATTCGTGTCAGCATTTGAACTCCAGTCCCAATCTATTCTATCAGGTTCACTGGTACATAAATATCTAGGAAATATTTTTCCAATCTACAATTTGGTGGTGCTATTGTGCAGTGATTAATAGTACTCTTGCCAGAGGAAAAATTATATTAACTTCCTGCTAAATATCCTTTCTTAGTTATTTTCTCTTTGCAAATTAAAAAAAAAAGCAACTGAGAGAAAGATAAACATTGTAGATATCTATTTATATTTAAAGTTTACGTTTCATGAACTTGAGCTGCAGGATTCTGGCATTTTGCATGCCATTTGCCATCAGATCTGACTTCTAGGGATGGTGACTGAAATACGTACACAGACTAATGGTTACTGTGTGGTCTGTTAAGGGGTGGATAACAATATGCAGCTTAGAAAGCTATTTTGAGATGTATGATATTCAATTCATTCACTTGATTACTTTGGTCTAGTTGCAGCGCAACTGTATATATTGTATAACCTAAATTGATTATTTTCATTGTCCTTAATGCAGTGATTTATAATTAGAGCATGTTTAATAAGTTTACTCTTCTTGTTAACGAGTCATTTGACTGGAAAAAAAATAAAGTACTTTTAAATGGATGTGGTCTAAGGTTTTTAATCTTTAAAGTGTTGTATGTTAAGTCCTTTTTTGAAAAAAAAATTATACTAACATACTGTACATGAGATTTTTTTTTTTTTTTTTTGAGACAGAGTCTCACTTTGTTGCCCAGGCTATAGTGAGTGCCGTGGCATCAGCCTAGCTCACAGCAACCTCAAACTCCTGGGCTCAAACAATCTTCCTGCCGCAGCCTCCCGAGTAGCTGGGACTACAGGCATGTGCCACCATGCCCAGCTAATTTTTTGTATATATATTTTTAGTTGGTCAATTAATTTCTATTGTCAGTAGAGATGGGGTCTTGCTCAGGCTGGTTTCAAACTCCTGACCTCTAGCAATCACCCACCTTGGCCTCCCAGAGTGCTAGGATTACAGGTGTGAGCCACCGCGCCTGGCCCATGAGATTCCTTAAATATCAGTTACTTGTGGCATGAGCAGTAATTAAGTTTTTCTTAACTCTGAGATAAGCACTGTGATTGTGATTTACTAGCATGTTGTCTTGACACACACTTTTGAAAAGTTGGCAACAGCACTGTCCCTCTGCCCCACGCCAGCATGAATCCAGGTCCCCAGTCCAAACTGGCTAGAGCCCCACACCTGCAACACCGCCTCACTGGGAAGCCGCTAGAGGACATTCATCAGTCTTCCTCAGACAGGCCCTCAATATGTATTATTCACTGAGTGGACTTCTATGACACTTAGGTGTTAAGCTTATTTCTGTTTGAAAATCACAAATGTTTCTTTTTTATCCCAGAAGGTAGGTGACTTCATTAAGAGTAAACTCACTGTATAATACAACATATTTTAATATAAAAACAAATGATCAATTTTATACATTGCATTTTTTTCAGAAAGTCTAGAGCAAGGGCTCGCTGCGTATTTCCATAACAGTTCAGCATTACAGATTGAAAACAACTGTTCGGAAAACAGCTGAACTTCCAGATGAAGTTGACTTCCACTTGATTGCAGAATTCAAGATTTCTCAGATGTTAATACGGAGTCAAAAGCAGTGGATAAAACTTTGCAAATTGCTTGTGCTTGTTCCTACAGTACGTGAAAAGATACAATAACAACAATGTTCATAAATCTCTTCCTGAATCTGAATTTAATTTGACCAGCAAAGGCATAAGCCTGACCCTCTTGATGCCTCTCCTAAATGGCAGCAATTCAAGTTGGCCATCTACACTGTCTGCCTTGATCGGTGGGTCCTTGGGTGGGCTCCCTTACATATGGGCCCTTTGGCTTTCCTTTGGCGAAGAGCATACACAGTAAATCCACAGATACTGCAGCCCGTGAGAGGGATGCTCACTGAGTCAGGGAGGACAACAACAAAGAGAAATGGAGGGAGCCTCTGGCCCATGGAGGACACAGCACTTTTCCTCCATGTTTTCCCTTTCCTCCAGAGATTTACCCTAAACCTTTATTTTTTTATTCATTTATTTTTTTGAGACATAATCTCACTCTGTTGCCCGGGCTAGAGTGCCATGGCGTTGGCCTAGCTCACAGCAACCTCAAACTCCTGGACTCAAGCGATGCTCCTGCCTCAGCCTCCCGAGTAATTGGGACTACAGGCATGTGCTACCATGCCCAGCTAATTTTTTCTATACATTTTTAGTTGACCAATTAATTTCTTTCTATTTTTAGTAGAGACAGGGTCTTGCTCTTACTCAGGCTGGTTTCAAACTCCTGACCCGAGTGATCCGCCCGCCTCGGCCTCCCAGAGTGCTAGAATTACAGGTGTGAGCCACCACCCTCGGTCTACCCTAAACCTTTAAATCCAGGCACAAGTGAGTGCTGTTACTGGGCCTGACATAAATAGCTCACAACCTGCACTAAGTCTGGAGAGCTGGCAGACCTATAGCCTAATATTCATTCATTACATTATTATTGGCCAGGTATTAGATACATAATGGATAGCATTTCTTCAGCCTTTGAAAAGAATGTAAGTAGTCTCTGGGTTTTGCCACTTGACTTGATGAATAGGAAACTAACCAAGGTAACTTAAAAGTCTCACCAGGCTGTTGCACTGATAAACCCACAGACTGTATTCTTCATTGCTCGCATCTGTGGTCTTCAGAGCCAATAAGCTTTTTCCTGCCCCCAGACCATCATCATAACACACCATCCGGATGATTAAATATAGAGCATGCCTATGCAAAACATCCTGCAGAAATCAGGAAAAATTCAAAAAGATCATGACTATTTTAAATGTTTCTCAGTTCTTTTAACACACATCTTTCCAAGCAGATTGTATTGTGAGGTTTTAAACAGCATATCCCTGGATCTGGCAGAAAGTAGCTATGTAGGTTTCTCACCCCAAGGGACGTTCCCATATGTCCGTTATGGGGCAGTTTGCCTTTGGGATCACACCTTCCTACTTAAATCCCAGAAAGATGGGAGTGGGGTGATCTACACTTACTATCCCTGTCTCTCTGCCCACCTTCCAAGCTGACTGATGGCTGCTCTTATGTGGGGTCCTAAGTTGAAAATGCATTAGAAGCCATCAGTGGGGGCTTGTATAGGCCCAATCTACACAGGAAGTACCCTTATTCACCCTAAGAAACTGGCCACATTTGAGACCAGCTGCCAGGAACGTTTACAAGCTAACCACTCTGCAAATAGGAGCAAACATAATTGTAAGTGGGCTCTTAATAGCCTGAATTCCCTTTTACCTAAAAGAGATTTGTTTTCCTTTAATAAATTATATTACTTACATACTGATCTGATGTTGACACTTTTATACCATACTTGGAAACTCCCATAATAAATTCTTCCTCCAGAGGAACAAAAGGCAACTTTCCATCTTGCTTTAAAGTAAAAATAAATTACATGATAAACATTAAAATTATGTTATAGTCTTAAGTCTGATTAGTCACCTTTAGTATCTGGCCATCACAAACCCAAAACCCTTTAAAGAATGTGGGGTACATGTTAGCTGGGTAAGAATTTCTCTCCAAAGAGGCAGAAGAAAAATTACCTCTCCCCCTCTTTTTGACAGCCCACAAATCTGAGCGAAGTCCAGATCCATCCATTTCATGCGTTTCTCTATTCCTTTGTCTTGGACTGGGTGTTACCCCTAATTACAAGTATCTGAGATACTCCTCACAGATCCTGGTGAGGTTAAAATATTTACATTAGAAAAAGTCTGTATTTCAATTCTGAAATACTCAAAGCGTATTCTAGTGTCCCCACATGGACTGATCAGGAAGCAAGGCCACAGGAACCGTTTTTCTCATTCTGTGTCCTACTTAGATGGTAAGGTGTGTGGTTATCCCCAGGGCTCGGGGCTTTGGGCTGGCAGATGCTGCTGCTGAATGGGTACTCGGCTCACAAAGACATTAATCAGTATTTTTAGTTATTCAGAGTAAAATAGCAGGTGAGACCTGATGGTTTCCCTAGTAGATTATCTAGTTTTATGGCCTAAATCAGAATGCTGCCTAATTTGCCTTCTCTAAAATAAATAAACTGTTGGCAATCAGTAGATGTTCCATATTGTAAATGTTTTTGTGGAACCATTTGCCTACGTTAAAGAAATAATGGTAAATAAGCCGCATCCAAATACCTTAATTCTCGGGTCCTCACACTGTTGTAAGTACCCTTTTACCCATCATCCTCGTGGTAAGTTTAAAGCAATTCCAAGAATCAAAATCAAACCGTTCATCATATTATCCTGATAATAGTAATGCTATTGTCAATAATGGAATTTTTAACAAGCAGAAATTCTACGGTGATATGAGAAATTTAAATTGTAGGAATGAACATAATCCTAGTGGATTTTTTAGGGGAAACATTATTAGTAATCTTTAGTCCTCAACATCACTCATAAGTTCTTGGAAATTACTACTTTAAGCTAAATGATGTACATAATGAAACCAATTCTTTTTCTTATCAACATTATAATGAAAGGACCCTGAATAATGAGTTATTTGAGGACCTGCTATAAGTTGTTTCACTTAAAGTCACAGTTTGCAAGAACTTAATGTTAAGTGAAGACTTACTGGACTTTGTTGGAATGACTTTATATTCCAAACTAAATGCTGGGATACTAATTGTATTAGTCCAGACTACCAAGAGTTCTCTGTTAAGTGGCAAATTAGAGTCATTGATTTCCCTCAGAGGTAACTTCCATTACTTTCTCAAAGACATGAAACATATTTCATGCTCTCATTCTGCATGATTTAAGAGATTGTACGTTCTTAAGATTAACACACTATGAACAGATGAAGGACTCTTTCCATCACGGTAATATCCCTTTGTTAATGAACACATAAAAATAGAATTTCATTTTCTAGAAACTCCAGAAGCAATTTACTAACTGTATTATTAGTCCTTTGGCTCATCCATTTCCACCGTTGGCAAGGGTACAGACCTTATCATATTTTATGCACCAACTTCACACCTGTGATTTATCTTATTTTTCATTCACGATGATTCCTTTTATTTTTTATCATCTTGACCTGGATAAATTTTTGAAACCCACCTCACCTTGATTCTTGTTAGAAACAGGTATGAATGAACAAATACGTTAGATCAACATCACTATGAATTAGATTGAGAGATGAAACGAGTTCAGTGGAGATAACAGTAAGGTTTTCCCAGATTGTCTTAAAAGAAAAACCTCTGGAATGTAACCAGTCACTACAGTCAGCTCCTCATTTCAACAAGGAAATCAGCCCCATAAAAAAGTAAAAAGTACTGTGTTTAAAGGAAGGAACAGTGTCTGTTCCTGTGTGGCTCAGTCTCTAAGACACCTGTACCACGGGTGGCTTCGGGAAAGATAGTGAGCACAGCGCCACCCAGTGGGCCTGAAAGAGCAGACATCTTTCTTCAAAGCCAGGATTTACAGAATCTCATAATCACAGACTTTAAATCAGAATTTTTTTTTTTTTTTACCTGGGCAACATCTATGTAATTTATCAGGTCTAGTGGCCCTTCCAGACATTTTCCCTCAGAGAGTTTCAGCTTCTCAATGGCACCAACATATTTTATTCGAAATTCCGCACAGGTATCTGAATTATTGTTGCTTTGTCCTAAAGATGAAAGAAAAGTTATGATGGTAAGACTTCAAAGAAATATCTGCATTACAGGTATCCTCAGTCCCTTCCCAAATAAAAGCCATACTGTGTTATTAGAACATAATCTTTAAATACAAATTTTTATAATGCAAAATTTCTTGATGTAATGGGAACAAACTTAAAATTTCACTAACCTTTTTCCTCAGTGTCTCACAACATACTAAATGTATAAAGGTCTCAATAATATGAATGAATTAATAACCTTCATTTCAAAACAAATGGGAGAAAAGTCTACTAGAAAATGATTACCTTTACAATGCATGACACTGAATTATTTTCTGGTTCCTTCCCCCTCTTTACCATGTTAAATAACTTTCCTGACTGAGGAAGCTGCTCTTCCTCTACCATTCAGTCCAAAAAGACTACACAATTTTTTTTTAATGTAGATGGAATAATGCTACGCAGGAAGTCCCTTAACAGACGGCAACAAGTTGAAGAATGGTGTGTGCTGTAAAATCTTGCCAATATAGAGATTACCACGAACTACTCACCATATTAAGGAAATACTTTACGATTACTTTTAGCTTGTTTATATAATGAAAAGATACACACATCTTTAATATTTTAAAGGCATCTGGAAGTCCAGATAATGGACTTAATGCTACAACATTCTGTTTATAGATTGATGAGTCTATGGATCCTGAAGGGAAAAGTAGGATTTTAGACAAGAAAATGAATAGTATATTTCCAGTTAGTCACCAGCTATTTATGGAGCTTGGGTTGAAGCCACTTTTTGATTTCTAAGGAGCTAGTAATTTCGGGCAGCTGCATAAATGTTGCAAGGATCTGCGACAGATGCTCCCCTTAATTACTTGTGTTCCTTGTGGTCATGAGAAAGTGTATCTCAGGGTACCTCGGGGTAGATGGCTCCTTAACCCTTTATCACCAAGACATTTGTCCTGTTCCATCCTCTGCCACCCCATCTCTTAAAAAGCTGTTTGAAACTTCTAAATTATTGCCCACAATGTTTTCGAACATTTTTACTGTAGAACTCATTAAGAGCATTTTGCTGGAGTGCCTGAGCCAGCCTCCAAGCCAATGGTTTCCACCAACAAGCCACACCCCCAACCCACAGCACACCAAATCTTGGCCCATTTCTAAACTCTTGTCAAGTGGCAGAGGAGGGGAAGAAAACCATGAATGCACAAGAACTCATTGTGTGACACTGGCGAAACTATACAAGCATAAGCGAAAAGGCTTAGATAAGAAATGATGCAATCCTTGTACGTACCTGAGCTTTTGGTGGAGTCTGTATCAAGGCTGGCCACAGTGCTGGATCGGGAAAGACCCCCAAGGCTAGAATCTACAGACTGAGAAATAAAAAAACAAATAAACAAAAAGCCTACAAATAATAAGAAGCTTCTCTGAAGTTCACTACCAAACCCATTGAAATTACTTGTTATAGTTGAGCTGACATGTACAAAAAAGCAGGTCAATTATTCAGGAAGGCTGATTACAAAAAATTTTTCTAAAGACAAATTCTGTAGCAAACTTCAAAGAAACACATAATCCCAACTTGTCTTCCCATAACACAATGTTGAATAAATGTGGCAGCAATACTCTTAGTCTAAATCTAAGTCATTTTCTCCACCTCCTCACAAGATGCCTTCTATTAATATCCTCTGTGAAAATCTACACCTTGCTTTCACTTTCCTTCCACTGAACCCAAACCGACCATGTACAGAAAGCCAGGCAGAGACTATTATCCTTATTTAATAAATGAGGAAAGAGATCAGAGACATTAAGTGATTTACCCAAGGTCACATCTAGTAAATACCTCAGAACTAGAATAGAACGAAATACCTCAGAACTAGAATAGAACGAAATACCTCAGAACTAGAATACTCAAACCTAGATCTCCTAATTCCTAACCCAGTGCTTCTGAGATTATTCTGACTAGGAATTGTACCACAGCAGTAATTCAGAGGCTAACTGGCAGACCAGCACATAACTGTCAATGTGAACTGCAATGAAAAAACGGCTGAGTGAAATACAAAGAATCACATGTGCAAGTGGAGTTTGTTCTACAGTACTATACTCAATGTGCTTAATTTCCTTAGAAATAACATTCTGTGGAAACTTTTGATTTAAAAAATGAGTCACTTTTTTGCAACTCAAATCCGAATTAAATTTTACAAGTACATTCAAAAGTTTTAAGAAGTGAATCAAAGATGAATGCAAAAATGCATCAAGTCTTAAGTATGTTTTTTTCCCTTTTTCAATCATTGGACTCCTTGGAATACAATCTAAAATGAGAACAAATTTGTATGCTCTAAGACACAATGTGGAGTACTGAAAAATTGGACATAGACTAAACATTCAATAGGCAGGAGGGAGGGGGAGTTGGAACTAAGGTGCTATTACAAATTCAGACTGGCTCCTGGGATGTGTCCAGGCTCCTGAAAGGAGGAACAGAGTCCACCGGGAAAACAGCGGTGCCTCGTGACCTCTGAATAGAACAGGAAGGAAGTAACTGATCTATTTTCCCCATGTTCAGAATATGAAACAACAAAAGCTTACATCATCCTAAAACACAAATCTAACAGTTGCAACTTTGCTTAAAAACCACGCAGCGCTCCCCCATGGTCTCCAGGATCCTCAGTCCGGGCACGGTGTACCACGGGCTCTTCTGCACTCCCCAGCCCCTGCCCAACTCGGGTGCCTGAGCTGGGTCACCGGCCACATCCCAAGCCTTTAGCTAGGTCCTGGCAGGAATCACAGAATGTAGGCTCTGGTCCTGGCTCTGCAGTGGCAGGGCTTGAAGCCCCCATCTGTTTTCTAACCCAGAAAACAAGATATCGGCCAGATCACCCGCTCCCCTCTGGGGTCCTCACACTTAAGGCTATGAAAGCAGCAGCAGGGAGGTTCTGTTTGTGTTGACTAGCTCCAGGAGTTCAAAAATTTTAAAGAAAATGGTTAATTTCTAAGACTGCAAAGGATTCCTAAATTGTCAAGTTTCTGTGCTTCTGGCTAGACGTCCATCCACTCAGCTGTGATAACACTGCTCACCCCACCCTGCCTGGACATTCTGCACGGCAGTCCCGCCTGTCGTCTCATTCAGGGGAGGCCCTTACTACTTAACAGTGTGGTTCACACGGGGTGGGGTGAGACAGCAGGCACCAATGACATGGTCTCAGGAGCCATCTCTCCAGGGGCACCTGAGTACCCCTGAGAGACGCCGCCTTCCATGTGCCAACCCACCTCACTGGCCTCACCGTGGCCCTGAGCAAACACATCTTCTATAATGGAAAGCACACAAAGGTGGAAAGTAATAAAAAGGCTCTTTAGTAATGAAAATGTGTGAACCCCTGGGCTAGGTAATCTCTAAGGTCCCTTCAAATTCAAACACTTTCCTTCTCTGGGATCCTGTTCACGGCACGACACCCAACTAACTCACCAGGCTCAGCCCCGTCTTCCTGGGTGTAACTGGATGTCTAACCTTCTTCACTTACACGCATTCTACCCACACATTTTAAGGCCCCATTTGCTTGCCCCTTTTTTTCTGAAGACTCCTCTGATGGTTAATTTTATATGTCAACTTAGCTGGGCTATAGTACACAGATACCTGGTCAAACCCCAGTCTAGATATTGCTGTGAAGGTGTTTTTTGGAAGAGATTAACATTTATACCAGGAGACTTTGAGTCAAGCAGACTGCCCTCCATAACATGAGCGAGCCTCATCCAATCAGTTGATGATCTTAAGAGACAAAGCCTGAGGTCCCTCCAGGAAGAGAAAAGTCTGCCTCCAGTCGCCCTGTGCACCAGAGCTGCCACGTCAACGGCCCGGCTCCAGCCTGTCCACCGCCCTGCAGGCTTCAGCCTTGCATGGCCATGGGAGCCAAGTCTTGAAAGGGTCAGATGCCTCCTCTTCCTGCAGCACCCGGGACAGCGCTGAGCACCGCAGACAGACATTAACAAGTATGAACCCACATGCCGCACAGCTAGACCATGGGAGGCACATGCTACCCCAGATGCTTCTGTACCTACCAGGAAGGTCAGGAGAGGGAAGTATGTGAACATGATTTCTACTTTACGCAGCATGTCAGCCAACTGTTGTTATTTTAAGGGTTTACGCTTAATTCCTCTTTTTCTCATACTCCACAACCAATCTATCAACAAGGCCTGTGACTGCTCATCTCGAAATCGCTGCAGAACCTGAGCTCTCCTCACCACTTCCTCCACGCCCCGTCCGAGCCCTCATCTCTCTCTCAGATGATCCCAGCATCCTCCCAGCTGGTCTCTCTGCTCCTGCCCTGACCCTGCTGTTAGTGGCCAAAGTGACTCCAGTTAAAATTACGTAAGAGTCTGTCACTGCCCTGCCCAAACACCCTGATGCTCCCCTTTTCCCACAGAGCAAAAGCCCCGGGCTTCCTGGGCTGACAAGGTGTCCCCCACCCGCCCAGTCATGCTGGTCTCCCTGCGGTCCCTCAGGCTGGCACGCTGCTCCTCTGGGCCTTTGCTCTTGCTCTCTCCTCTCCCTGAACCGCTCTCCCCCACATCTGGTCTCGGCTCCCCTTCTCCTTCTGGGCCCTGCTCAAATGCCAGCTAGGGAATACACGTTTCCTGCCCAGGCTGCTTGAAACTGCATCACTCCCAACCTCCCACCCTTCCCCATTCCTACAGTTTCTTCCTCCCATGTTAGTTTGCACCGCCTGACATTTTATATTTCACTTACACGTTCATTATTTCCTCCCCAGCTGGAATGTTAGCTCTGTGAGCCCAAGGATTTTATGTTCTTCTCTAACTGCTCTATCCCCTGCACCTAAAACAGAGCTTGGCACCTAGGAGTGCGCGATAAAAATGCATTGAATGAATAGTTCTCATATGTCACTGTCCAGGAGGTGGAAAAGAATGTTATTCTTCTAAACACCAACAAAATTGGTGTCAAAAACCTAAAATTCTTAGAACAAATATAATTCAGCTATCATCTTTATAACCTTTTTTAAAATTTTATTTTATTTATTTATTTTTCACTGCCACTTCTACCCCTTTATAATCTTATATTGGAAAATTCTGTCAGTCAAAAGGAAATCACGCTATCCTTTGAATAGGAGACCAAAGAGGCCAGCTGAATAGATCCTCAAAGGTTTGTTTTGCATACATTAAACCCATGCATACCTTCAAATAACATTCAAAAGTCTTTGGTATACAGGTATTTGCCAATCTCATTCTTAAATAACTATATATACTACAAACCCTAGAATTCAAGAGATCCAGCCCCTTAAGGCCTGCAATTTCTATATTTAAAAAGTTTTAAAAGCAGTACTTGTTTCAATGAGACCATTCATAGATTGTGTCCCACCCAGTTTAATGAATTTAAGAATTTCAGAAAATCTACCAAAACAAAATAAACCACGCACAGAATGTATCTCTAGTGCAAAAACTGAACTGTTAAAACAGACCTAGTTTGAAGACTATCAGGAGGTCTGCCATGGTTAGTATCCTGCATGCAGTATCAGTTAGACAAACAAAATTCTCACTGCCTTATGATTCTGGTACGAACTCCATTCTTCCTACCTTGCTCTTCGTACTGATTTCACTACTTTGGGAACTGCTACTGCTGTGTCGTTTTTTGCCTTTCCGAAACATTTTTCACCATAGCTTGATCCAGAGAAGATACCCTGAAAGTACAAATTTTGGTGACAGTTACAAGAAAAGCAACTGTAAATCACTTTATATATAATAGGAATGAAAAACATCAATTCTTCCAGTTTCATGAGTGTACTCCTTTGACTTAAAACATAAATATGTTCCCATGGATACTATTTTCATTCTTTCTTTCCTATTAAATTACAAAAAGCTAACCCAACCAATGAAAAAGGGAGAGACCTTCTTGTCCTATACAGAAATGTGACAAGCACTGTTCTCGTAAGTATCAGACATAATGTCATCTAGTTCTCAAAATTTCAAGTGCCTTACTTCTGTTTGATTCAAAATTTTCGCAAAATACGTGATGCATTCATTGATTTATCAGCTGAGATACTGAGTCTCAGGTTCTCATTCTGTACTTGGTTGGGCTAAGAACAAAAGATATACACAACTCTCAGAATGTGCATTTTTCTTGAAGTCTTGAAATATCTTTAAGTAAAGGCTGACATAAAAACATTCCTAGGTGCTAGCTCCTTGTGTCCCCGCTCCAGTAAGGACAGGTAAGGAGATGACCTTAAGTTTCCCACAGTTTGTGTTGCATATGCCTTTTTTTAAAATTAATAATTAATGCCTTGGAAACATAAAATTCATATCCTTGCCCATTTCACAGGAGTATATATATTTGGAAAATTAACCTGCATGATGGTGTATAGTTCTCAGAACTTCCAAATACGGTTATATTGTCTCATTACATCCTCCGGCAACCTTGTGACAGATTCATTCCCTCTACTGGGGTTCGTAAGGGCCTACCATGTGCTACACGCTGTGCTGGGGCCCTGAGCCCTACCCTCAACGGGTTTATAGCGGGTGGGTTATAACCTGCCTTTGACAGGTGAGGGAGCTGTGACCCAGCTTTCAGGAGGATTTACGAATAAGATAACCTAACAAATTTATACTGAAAATTGAATTCTTCAGAGGGAACAAGGAAATCTGCTTACTGTAGAATCGAACACTATTTTATTGTCTTCAGAGGTTCCACAGACAGCAGTCTGCACAGAGAGCTTCTTTTCATTCTGATATGGCCAGTTCTCTTCAGAGAAACAATGTACCTGGTGAAGTAAAAAGAGTAAGTTATGGGGCAGTGAATGGAAGCCCCTGCTCCAACTCAGAGTTTCTCTCGTGGTACTGGGAGACCCCACTCTGAGCCCCCTTGCGAGTGGATGCCCTTAGGCCACTGATCCCAGTCTGACTCCTGAGCCCACGCTTTTGAATCAGCCTCACCATCCAATTTCCTACCATATATATTCCCTTTATTCGTAGGGGAGCATGAAAATCTGATTCTTTCATTCATTCCTGAATAGTCAGTGAACACCTACCAGGTGCTAGGGATACATCAGTGAACAAAACAGACAGAGGTCCTGACCTCAGGGAGTTTATCTTTAGAGGAAGTAGAAAGATCAACAAGAAAAACAAATATAAAACATAGTTTTAGGAAACAATAATTGCTATGAAGAAAACTAATGCAAGTTAAGGAGACACAGAGGGACTGAAAGAGGGGGTGAGTATTTCAGATGGAAAAAGATGCTCTGAGGAGAAAAAAAAAAAAAAAAGACTCTGGGCTGGGCATGGTGGCTCACGCCTGTAATCCCAGCACTTTGGGAGGCCAAGACAGGAGAATCAGGAGTTCGAGACCAACCTGGGCACCATAGCAAAACCCCATCTCTACAAAAAATTAAAAAATAAATGACTCTGCATGCCAGGAAGGTAACTAACTCCCTAGGATAAAGTAAAAACAAAGAGACTGGATGAGTTGTTGCAAAGGACAATCTTACCACACCAGGATACTTCTCAGCAAGAAAGCCTTATTTCAAGGTCTGCACAAAACTGGGTTAACCTAGCAGCATAAAGTACCATGTTAATGGTCTCTGATCGGTTACGATGTTGGTATATAACATATTTAAGCACATTATATTTAAGCATATGTAAATATATAATTTATATATATAAAAACAATTTTAAACATGATTTTAAAATAAAATCTGATTCTATTGTTAGTGGAAGCCTAAAGCATCTCCTCAAATCCCTAGAACGAATGATTTGAAAAATCACTACACTGTACTATAATGCCTTTGTAACTCCTTAAGACTTTCTTTTCATCATGAATCAGGAGCTTAGGAAAAAGAAGCATTTATTAAATGGTTTGATATCTACTGCTATTTTGATGCATGTTTTAAAGCAAATCATTCTTGCCTCAAAATTACTCATGCTTAAAAATGAGACCAATGGTATGATTGTCAGTTGGATGTCCCACAGGTCCATCAAATGCAAAAATACCTTAAACTAAACCCTTCATCCTCCCCTCCAGATCTGCTCCTCTCCTCTCTCTCTCAGGAAATTATATAATTGCTGGTAGAAACCAGGAAATCATTCATCCTCACTGTCCTTTCAAGCCCCACAGCTAGTCAAGCACCAGGACCACTGAATACTCCACCTGAAGAGTTCTGGGATCTAGCTCCCCGGCAGAGCCCACATCATCACTATTGCTTTTTTTTTTTTTTTTTTTTTTTTTGTTGCCCAGGTTAGAGTGAGTGCCGTGGCATCAGCCTAGCTCACAGCAACCTCAAACTCCTGGGCTCAAGCAATCCTCCTGCCTCAGCCTCCTGAGTAGCTGGGACTACAGGCACGCGCCACCATGCCCGGCTAATTTTTTCTATATATATTAGTTGGCCAATTAATTTCTATTTATAGTAGAGATGGGTCTCGCTCTTGCTCAGGCTGGTCTCAAGCTCCTGACCTTGAGCAATCTGCCCACCTCGGGCCTCCCAGAGTGCTAGGATTACAGGTGTGAGCCACCACACCCTGCCATCACTATTGTTATTTACAACTTCTTTTAGTACCTGACGAAAGTGATGGAACCTCAGCCTGTAACAATGTGCACACACACAAAATTTGGCAGACAACTTAAGGAATTCACAAACCTGAATATATTCCATGAATGACAGACCTCGATCCTACTGGACTCCTACCCCTCTAGATCTACCACCACACTTCAGCCAAAATGATTAAAATGATTTATTTCAAACATAAATACGATGCCATTAGCCTCTTAAACTGATTCACTGGCTCCCCAGAGTCAGAGACTGCGGTCCAAGCTCCTAAGCAGGACATGCAAGGTGTTCTGCGACTGGGCTACTCCTTACCTCTTAGGAACGCAAAGCGACGCTCCACGCTGCCCTGCTTTGCTCCCGCACTCCCTCTGCCTGGAAAGGCCTTCACCTTTTAGTCACTTGGCTACCTCTCACCTTCCAAAGCTCATTTCAGGCTACTTCTCTTCTATTAATAGAAAGTCTTCCTTGGACCTCCAGGCTGGGCTAAGGGACCGGCAGCCGCAGTGTACACCCTGATCACAGCTTTACAGTCTGCTATGGTCTCCTTAGACCCAGCTCACTCTCCGAACTGCATGCTCATCAAAGGCAGAGTTACCCATGGCTGGACACGCGTGCGGGGCACGGCCTGGCAGAGGACATGCTTCATGAACCTGAACTTTCTCGAGAGGTGACACCCAAATAAAGACACGTGCCATGCACAGCGCTAGGTGCTACAGACACCTCTAACCCTCACTGACCAGCAAGGCTGCAGGATGACAGCCCCTTTCAAACGAGGACACCAAAGCGCCAGGGATTCAGCGACCTGTGCTAAGTCACCAGGTTAAGAACGTTTGGGGCCAAGTTTCGGACGTCAATAGCGCTGGCTCCAAAGCCCTTCCCACACACCCGCTGCCGCACACGTCTTTGTCGCTGCAGGGAGTGCCGGCCACCTGCTGGGTGCGGAGGCTGCGACACAGCGGGAGACGGCCGAAGCGGTGCAGAGAAAGAGCAAGCACAAAAAGAGAGTGCGCTTCACGCCTCGCCTTCCCCCCGGGGCCAGACTCGGCAGATCCCGGCCCGAAGGCCAGCCAGCGGCGGGAGGCGGCTGCCCCGGGCGCCAGCACCCGAGGGGCAGGGCCAGGTTCGACCACCCGCGCCACACGGGCGGCGGCCCCTCCTCACCCCGGCCTGGCCCTCGGCCTCCCCGCCGCCCGCCCGCGTCCCCGGGGAGTGAAGGCGGGCCCGCGTGGACACCGCAGGCTCCTGCACGGCCCCACCCATCCGTCCCAGGCGTGGGCACCGCCCTCGGGGCCGCCTTCCCGCCAGGCGCCCGCTAGCATGGCCCGGGTAGGGCGAGGGCCCGGGCGCTCACCTCGCTGCCGCGGGCGCATCCCTGGGGCCGCCTGCGCTTCCGGGGGAGTCGGAGGGCGCCGGCCGCCCGTGCCCCGGCAGCTACTCCAGTCCTCGCTCCAGCGCCAGTTTTTCCAGCCCTCCCCCGCGTCCGTCAGGCCCCGCCTCCGAGACTCGGCGCAGGCGCAGTCTGGACGGCCCGCCTCAGGTTCCCGGACTCCGTGCGATCAGAGACCTCGCGAGCTCGGCGCTCCGACGGGAAGTCGAGGGGAGGTGCCTAATGTCGCGGGCTCCCGAGAGCCGGAAGTTGTGCTCTTGGTGAATGGGGTTTTTTTCTTCTTTATTTCCCCGTGGCTGCACTTCCAATTTAGAAAGATTCCGGCGACCTGCTCTTCACCCCTGCTTCGCCCTCAGACTTCCGGGATGTCTGCGATTCCTGCTGAGGAGAGCGACCAGCTGCTGATACGACCCCTGTAAGGGACCTGCGAGAGAGGGAATGAAGCCACAGGCTGTGTGAGAGGCGAGGAGGGGCGACCGGAGAGGTTGGCCTCCTCCGTCGCCCCCGACTCCAGCCTGCCTCCGCAGCCTGCCCTTGGTCCGCGGCGGCGGGCCAGGCCTCTCAGGCTCAAGGGGTTTGGAGGACTGTTGATCAGAAGGGGCCTGCTAGGTCGAATGGGATTTTGCTTTTTCTTCAGTTTCAGGGGAGTTGGAGGGGGAACGTTTTCTGGGGCCCCTGGGCGCTTTCCTATACGCTAAAAAGCGTTGTCAATTAGCACAACGGATCTCTGCGCATCAGGGCAAGCCAGGAGGGAGCCGGTGATGCTGTTGAGCGACAGGCTGAGAGGAGGACCTGAATGAGGCTGTAACCGTGCAAGGAAGAACTAAATCTATTTCTTAATACCTCCAGGACTTGACCTGTGCCGGGAAGTGAAAGAGAAAATAAATTAGGAATTTGCTGTGAGTTTCAGCCTTCAGAGCTCAGACTCTTAACAGAATTAGGAAAGTGGGAAGTTGGAGAGGAGAAAGTGCAGAGGTTTTAGGGACAAAAAAAAACTCAGCCATTGATGGATCAAAGGAGACTTGGTGGAGATAGCCTTCCACATTCTGGAATGCAGCTTAAGGGGAAATATAACTGTGGAGAACTTGAACTCCTATAGAGGAACAATTCAAATCCACAACATATTTTTATTGTTAGCTATTAGTTAACACCACATGAATGTATACACTTTCCAAGAGGTAGAAAGTATCTCCTTTACACACTCATTCAAAAGGCTTCATTGAGCACCTGCTTGAGACATAGGTGAAGTTTCCTTCTGCTTAGTTCACACCTGTCATCTCTTGTGTTCAGCAAACACTAAGCAAGTGTCAGGCACCATGTGGGGAAACAAATAAGACAGAGGGCTGAATTAATTGCTTTCACCAGTTGGAGGGAATTACAATGCAAAGTGGGAAGTACTGGAGAGACTTTAGAATAATATGAGACCATTACTTTGGAATCAGACCTGAAGTCCAGCGCCTACTTTACCACTTATTAGGACAACAGCCTTCACTGAACCCACTGCCTCATATGAAAATAATATAACAACACTTGAGGAGTAAAGACATGGTAGGTGCTTAGTAAGTGATAGCTAATATAAGAGCCCAGGTAGACATTGCACTGAGCTTTATGAAAGTATGGAAAAGGGATTTCTAACAGATTTAGTAGAAGAGAATGATATCTCATACATCCTGCAAAATGTGAGTCCTAAAGAATGAGTAGGAATTAAAGACAGTGTAGGGGCCAGGATGTTCCAGGCAGAGAAAGTGGAGAAAGTGGCACGTGGGAAAGTGAGAGTGGTCACAACTTGTGGCCAAATTCCTCATGGCTGTAGCTAAAAGGTTAGCAGATGAGGTAGGACAGGCTATCGAGGTCTGGTTTATGAAGCACTTTGTATACATATTAAGGAGTTTGAGTCTTTATTGAGTCAATTATAGGGAGCCCACAAAGGATTTTAAGCAAACATGGGATATTGTAGTTGTGTTATAGGAAGGTCACTCCTAGCAGCAGATAGCAGATGAATAAAGGGATGGATTAAGTGGAGGGAATCCGGTAGGATGTAGTTGAAATAATCCAAGGCTAAGCAATAAGAGCCTGTAATGAGTGAAATGAATGGATGAGAGAGTACAGAAGTGAAATCTTCAGGATTTTGTAACTGATCAGGTATATCTGAAGTGACAGTTGTGGGGGGGGGTATTGGGCAGAGAGGAATCTTAGGATGACTCAGATTCCTAGGTTGGACAGCTGGTAAAGGGTTGTGTTATTCAATAGAGGAGTACAGGAGATGGGGCAGGTCTGGAGTAAATTTGGGAGTTTTGTTATTTTGTAACAGCTTTATTGAGACATAATTCACATATCACACAACTCATTTAAAGTGTATAATTCAGTGGTTTTGAGTATTTTCAGAGTTGTACACCATCACCGCTAACTACAGAACATTTCCATCACTCCAAAAAGAAACCTTGTACTTATTAGCAGTCATACATAATTACCCCAGCCTCCCCAGCCCTATGCAACCGCTAATCTATTTCCTTCTCTACAGATTTGTGTATTCTGGACATTTCATATAAATGGGATCATACAATATATAGCCTGTCTGGCTTCTTTTGCTTCATTTCCAAAATTCATAATTCGGTAGTTTTAAGATAGACACTCTGTTCTCTGTTCTCATGCAGGTTTCATTTTAGTAGTGAAAAACATGCCACAAATAGATACAATAACTTCATGTAGTTATAAGTATTAAGATAAAATGATGCTGGACTGTGGCTTGCTGTGAAGGACAAATTAGAGGAGGTAGAGGAGAGCCTCTGGGAAGGTAACCTTTGAACTGAGACCCAAATGATACAAAGGAGCCAGTCATGTCAATATCTGAGGGCAGAACATTCCAGGAAGAAAGAGGAGCAAATACAAGGGGATTGTGAAGACTAGCTTGGCATACTGAATATGAGGTCCCTGGGAGATATTCTGGTAGAGATACCTAGTGTCAGGTATGTAAATACAGGCTTGGAAGTCATCAGCATGTCAAAAAGATGAGAATGAAGGTTATGAAGATTGGGAACCCTTGGAACATCAACATTTAAAAGTTGAACAGAGGCAGCTGAGTGTGTGAAGGAAACTGAAGAAAGCCAGCAAGATGGGATGAAAGCACGCACACACAAGGACTGAAATTGCTGTTTGCACTTAGCAGCAAGAACAGTTACAGAAGAGTGGTTGGTATAAAAGCCAGATAGATTGTAGTAAATTGAGCAGTGAGTGGAAGGTAAGGAAATAGAGGCAGAGTGTACACAGCTCTTAGGAAGCTAGCTGGGAAAAGAATAAAGTGGGAACTAAAGGAGATTAGAATCAAGGAATTTTAATTTTGGGATGAGAATGACTATAGCATGTTAAATTCTGATGGTAAAGGGCAGATAGGCAAAACAAATGTCCATGATATAGCAGTGTTCATTTACTCAGAAATAGGGATTATATAGAATATAAAATCATGACGAAAATATTCACCTTAGAGGTATGTTTTGTTGATAATAGAAGAAATGGAAAGAGACAAAGGTGTGGGTAGGTTGGTAAATAAGAGATTGACAGAGGGTCTGTGTATTTTTTTGATGCTGATAATGGCCCATGCCTCAAGTGAAGAAGAAGATAAAGGGTTGGGAAATTTAGGAAAGGGGAGAAAGTTTGAAACAGTTGCTGTGGAATCTAGAAGAGAAAATTGAGCTAGGAACACTTAAGAGGCAACATCAAGGGCCACTTAAAGTGGAAAGCCAGGGTATCTAATAATTTAAAATATATTTTTTTTATTTTTTTAAAGTAGGCCAGGAATTCATTGTAGTTCTCATCTCATGTAGCAGTTGTTTGATTTTCTTTGCCAACAGCCTACTAGGAGGTAGGATCTCAATTTGGGGATGAATCCTCTTCATGTCTGTCTCCTAGTAGACTGAGTTCCTTGAAATCAGGGTCCATGTATTAGGCATTTCCATATCCTAGGCACTTAATACAGTGCTTGGCAAATAGAAGCTGCTTAATGTTGAATGAGTGAGTGAATTGTGAGCTAAAATGATTGGGAATAGGCATCAAAGAAGGTGAAGGATTTGAAAAACAGGTGAAGTTTAACTTGAAGTGTGCCTTGTAATCATTGGAAATTATGGCTATTTTATTAATGTAGGAAGAAAAGAAAACTAAGTACTGGTATAAAATATACTAAAATAACAAGGTAGCAGAAAAAGGGACTGAAAGTATGAATAATCTATTTTTTGAATATATAATTTGATCTTGAAGACAGAATTTTCAAGTGGTAATGGCTCTATACTTAAGCGCTAATTCTAAAAGTTATTACGTAATCTGTATAACTGCTAGTTTACATTTTAAATATAATTTAATCCTAATATTCAGAAGATTGAATTTAAACTTTGGGCTTCTTGGATGTGTACCACTGTCTCTCACAATTTTAACAACTGCAAAGTCCCTTACCATCTTTTCCCACATTGACACTGTTCTTCCCTATCTTTGTAGGGAAGAACTGTCATATGCCCCCATATATTTAAGTGAATGCTGTCATCAAACTATGCCATACGTAGTTTAAGTTGTAAAATATTTGAATTTATTGAGCTTGGGTTTGGTTTTTTAATCATTTTTACTTCTCCCCTTGAATGTTTACAGTGGAGCTGGACAAGAAGTAGGAAGATCATGTATTATTCTGGAGTTCAAAGGAAGAAAAATAATGGTAATTATTTTTGTAGCCGGATTAATAGTATGGCTCTGTCTGGGTGTTAGGTCTTTTCCAGTAGAATAATTATCTGTTTAGCTCCCAGAAAAATGTTATAGTGCGTGTAATTTATACTGTATAATGTTAATGAGAAAAACTAATACACATTTCTACTTAGTAATTTGGCAAAAAACTAAGTAAATTAAGAAGATATATTGTAGGATTGTAAAATTATCAACTAGATCTGCTGTCTTCAAAGTCCTTCTTCTACTCCTTGAGGGTTGAGCCAACCTAACTGCCCATACACCAGTGAAAGATCTGCCCCAAGAAAGAAAGAAACTGCCCCAAACGTGCAGAACTCTAGCCATCCCCATGCAGCATGTGGTAATCGAGCCTTGGCTTGGGAGCTTGGATACCCAAGTAGTAGTAAACTTCTGGCCTCAGACAAGTCACTGCTTCTCTAAGCCTCAAAGGTAGAGGGAGTAGAAAAGACGGTTTCTAAGGAACCCATTGGAAAGGCAGTTCAGTGGCTCATGTTCCTTTGGTTCCTCTTTTCTATTTCTCCCAATCTTACAAGAACAGGTATATGTCAACACAGTCATCTTTTTAGTCCATTTATTATATTAATTTGATAGTAATGCCCTATAAAATAAGTAAATCTTTAATGACTGACTCTTAGGAATTTGTTCCCTAATGCCTTAAAATATTTAAATTACCATGATCAGGAGAGTTTTCCATTTCTAATTATTATCTTCTCACAGTAGTCAGATCTGGTAGTAGTAATTCTATGAACTTTTAAAGTACCCACCATCTTCTGATAATCAGAGTTCTTAAAAAAGAACTCATTTATTGTTAGAGTGACTACCAAAAGACTCTAGAAAGCTGTCTTGTATTTTTCATCTTGTGACCCTAAATATGAGCTATATTTTTGTTAATAATTTGAGAAGTTAGAATTGTTTATGGCATATTTGCTACGTTTAATAAGAATTGTGGTCCAAGGGCTAGTGTATGGAATCTATCTTGATTATGTGGGTAATGAATCAGTTATAATTATTGTCTGTTTGCTGAATGAATTTTAACAAAATGTGCAGGAGATTGTGATCTTTTTTCCTCTTTCAGCTGGACTGTGGGATCCACCCTGGCCTAGAAGGAATGGATGCACTTCCTTATATTGATTTAATTGACCCAGCTGAGATTGATCTCCTATTAATTAGTCAGTAAGTTTTGTCTTTTAATAATAATACTGTTTTTCAAGGACTTTTACTGTCAAGATCATTCTTGACCAGATTTTGAGATTTGGGTTTTTTAAAAGTACAGTATTTTCTACTAGAAAGCATATTTCAGACATCTATATCCAAGCCATCACTCCATAGTGTCATCATAGGTTAGAGAAGTGTTTACTATGAAAAACTTAACTACCTCTAGGTGTAAGCAGTGAATAAGTGGGAAGGAGATACCTTAAATTGTAAAACATGAGAACAAGAAAGCCCTTTTCCAGGATATCTCCTTTTTTTTTTTTTTT